GAACAGATTTTCCTCAAACATATTCAGAGTAAATCTGATCATCCTGACTCTCTGAAAACAAGAACTTTTCTACTTTACCTTCGTCTTGTTTGGAGGACCTGTTTGTGGAACTGAACTGCATGACACAGCAGGTTTGTTTTGAGAAAACTACGACTTTCTGGTCAATTTTGTGGACATCAGTGAGGAAGGCGCAGACAATGGATGACCTAACTGAGACTTTTCAGTCTCTGGTAATAAAATCTGACCAAGAAAAACAAACATTATTAAACCCTCCAGACAGACAACAGCCTGAGCTCAACTCTGAGCCTATTTTAAAGTGAGACACAATAATGGTCTGGAATATAGTGGATTTAAAGCCGTGATGAAAACGTCTTTCCTGGATTGTCTGACGGAGAATGACTCATTAGCGTTTGGTCACATTAATCAGCAGAGAAGCACTAAGAGGGCTATTTATTTACCTCTGTTCACTTTCTGTCCATGAAGTTTGTTGAAGAAGGGAAATTAACTTTTTCTTTATGTTGTTAAAGGTGGAGGAGGTGATTTATTTTAGATTTTTTTTTTTTAGATTTCTTGAAATCATCCTTACATCCCGATAGCAATCAATTAATCAAATGCTTTGATAATAAAAAGAAAAAAATTGTTATATGTGGAGGCCACAGGACTGTAAAAACCTTGTGCAATCATTCTATTCGGACTGAATGGCCTACCTGCCTGCCTGCCTACATCACGACCTGCCCACATGTACACGCTCTGCAGGTGTACTCACTTGCAGATGTGCGGAGTCCATCATACGTCTCCACACACACAGACACACACACACGAAAAGCTTGGTTCACAAGATACCAGAGAAAGTTACACAGGTACCTACGATAGCTGGCACCGCTAAAGAAAGAAAAGAAAGACAGAGGTAGAAAAGGCTTTTAACAGAAAGAGGTTGAATAAAGAGGTCAAACTAGAGTGACCACTGATGTGGCTTTCTAATCGTGGCAAAACCTGATGGAGCTGAAAGGCTGAAAAACTACGCCAAGGCTGCTGATTTTCTGTTGGACCGGTAATTACCTGGTTTGTTTTGTTTATGGGGAAATTTGTTATTTTCCTGAATTCTGTAGCCAACGTAGCAGCTATTCATGTAGATACATTATGCGCAAGTCTACACTAATGTTGGCTAAGCTGTGGTGATTTAAGCGTGTAGTTTACAGTCTCAGTGTGCAGAGACTGAAATACAACAAGAATTGTTCTGCACTGAACATCTCAAACTTCAAACCACAGCACCTGTTGTCCCAGAAGCTATTAGCAGCCTACTAAACATATACTTTGGACTGATGTCTGAAACACTCATGGTTATTATTTTTTATGGTAATGACGACTAGTCGTCTTAACAGATTTCTGAAACGTAGAGCATCACAAACTTAACATCAGTTTGTCACAGAATTTCTTGTCTTGTTGTCGTGAGGGCACACAGAACGAGTTTGGGCGACGAATAAGAACTCAAACTCCCAGATCTCCTCAGATCGCATGACACACAGAGCTGAACTCACTGAACCTGTCTGGGCTTTTATGTGCAGCAAAAGCATAAACTTGGGATTCAAATTGGTGTTGAGAAGCGCTGATACAGTAAGAGCTGGAGAAATATTTCACTACAAACTGGCAGCTGAGCTGAAACCGTAAAGAGAGCGACGCGACGTCTGGTTCCAACATTATAAACATGATAACGGCTCTTATTTGCCTGTGTTTTACACACAGCTCCTCGGTTCATCCACGTCCTTCACCTTTTTCTCTGCTCTTACAGCTCTCTGATTGGCTGTTTTTTGAATCACTCGTTGAGTTCATCTCTGACCGTCTCACACTGCAGGACACGTAAACGTTTTGAGGCATAAATATGTAATAAATATATAATAAATGTTTGATAATATCGGAGGGTCTCTGATCACTTCAAAGTTCGATCAGAGGGCTAAAGATTCACTCGTTTCTCCTCTCACACCAAATTATCCGCACCATCAGACGCTCCTGACCTGGAGAATCGTTTCAGATTGTGAAAATTTGTCACAAGGGGCAAACTGGAGTTAAAACTGGGCAACAAGTCGTGTAGGTTGGGCCCAGTTTAAGCTACCTAGCTGTGTTTATCTTGAATGTAATCTGGGTGTATGTGTGCTCGATAACGTCTGCATTGTAGTGAGGCTGTGCAGGTTCATCTATTTTGGGAGCGCGGCATTGTAAGGAGGGCTGAAAGTAGGGGGTGGGATTTTTTTTTGGTTGGATTTTTCCAAAAACTACTTTATCCTTCCTGGTTTCTAGAAAATCACCTACTCCAACATTAAGCACAGCCAGAAAACCCCTTTATAAGGCACAAGACAGTAAACATCAGCTTAAAGTGATAAAACTCAAATTTATGTTTTAATTAAGGTGGAAAGTTGTGTACAGGTAACTATCACTTCAAAAGCCAAGAGCTTTTTTCTCTTTGAGAAAATAACACCACGTATAAAACAGTAACAAGTGAATATGCAATAGATTCCGCGTGGACAGTAAACACTATAACAGTAACTTCAATACAGTTCATTACATTTTTCATAGTTTAAGTGGCTCTTAGTATGTTGCTGTTGTCGAAACAAAACCTTGTATCTCCAAAATGGTAACTTTACAGGAGAAGGAAAAAACCTTCTTTATTTGCAATGTAAGTCAATGGAACCAGACTTTTTTTCCAAGCCATTTTGGGCCATTTATTTTGGTCCATCCATCATGAAATTTATACACAATGTAAAGGGCAACAGGCATTTTCAAACTATGCCAAAAACTGAAAAACAACAAAAAATGGAGATATGAGGTTTTGTCCCAACAACAGCGATTAACAGTCAGCATGTAATGGTCCCTCTTTTTGGCACTGAGCTGATGGTATAAAATACCATCCACCTCTTTGCACTGATAAAAATGTATATTATTAAAATGTGTCAATGGATTTTCAGTAAAATATATTACATCCACACAATCCTGGTTATCAGTTTATTTACTTTTGGCAATAATTGACTGTTTGCAGAATTCCCTCCCTTAGTTACTGTTCCTACATCCGTCAAACGTTCCGCTCAGGCTTCCTAAAAGCATCTGTAGAACTTGAACAGCCTGAACAGTTCAGCAGCACAAAGGAAACTTTAGAAGCACACAATGCAGACAATCAACATAATTATCGCCAAAAGTAAGTAAACAGAGATGAAACTGTGTTTATGTAATTTTGTGCAACCGACTGACAGTTTTGAATCAAGTAGTGTATTTGATGCCCTGTTCACACCTGGCGTTAACATCCGATGGTGAAGATGAATGAGGAAGAGGCAAAATACAATCTCATATTTTAGAGGTGAAAGATTTTTTTTTTAATTTCTGCATAATTAAACAGTTAAGATGTAAACAGGGTGACTCAGAGTGGCTCAGAGTGGTTTGGTGTGAAACGCTCTGTTCTAGATAAACTTACCGAGTCAGAGCTGTTCACAGTGGTGGTGATAGGAACCAGACGTCCACCTCTAAAAGCTCCCTCACAGAAAGTTCCTACATGAAATGGTTATGAATTCACTGCCTGATGACTTAGACACTGTTTTATGATAGTTTTGTAAAGATTTCTGCCTTAAAGAAAACTTATTATTCCAGATTTTCCACTATTTTCCATCATCAACATTCCATATACACTCAGAAGACTCGTGTAGGTTCACTGGTGGTTCTGGATAGTAAATAAAATGTCTATATTTGTGTTGTAGTCATGGCGACCCCTGGTTCCTATCACCACCACTGTAAAGGAATCTGAACCATTTCACACCAAACCACTCTGAATGACTTCTCTTATGATTAAGTTACGCTGAGGTTTTGAAAAACTGGTGGAATTCCCAATTAAAGTGACATTTTGTGTAGCCCTGTCATACATAAATGCTGAAAACTGAGCTTAAGAACAAATTTAGGAAGAAATTTAAGTGTTTTATATACGAGGCCCCTGATATTTTCAGGTTTGTGGAATGCGTCTCCAGTGACCATGTATGACTGGATTTCATGACTGCAAGAAGGGGACCACCCAAAATGTATTACGTCATTCTCTTTGCATTTGTTATCAAATAGAAATGACCTGCAAGTTCTTGCTGGTATAAACATTACAGGCTTTACAAAACATTTAGGCTGCTAACATAACTTACAGACAAACATAGAGAGAAAAGGAAAAAAGCTGTGATGACTATGTTGATTAAGGAGGTCCTTCACTGTAGTCAGGGATGCACTGGGACACTTAAGCATTCACACAGCAGATGTTTTATGGTCATATGCATCCCTGATATGATAGGGGTTGCATAAACTAGTTGACTGGTCAACCAATAGCTCCAGATTTCGATTTTGAGAAACGCCGACTTTGACAGGAAAGGGCCGTTTGAATGGCAAGTAAAATGACCAGTCACAGAATGTTTAGCACGTGTGCACAACAAAAACAAGCTTCTATTAAAGTGGAGTACCGGTCGGCCGGGGCATAAGAGCATCCCGCTGTTTACAGCATCTAACACGTTTCAGGAATAACTTCTTAAAACAGTGGGAATGTTTTCTATTTCAGCGACTCGGCTGACATTGGTGAGTAGAGATGCGCCTGCTTGCTACAAGCATTTACCCTGATAAACAGTCTTTGTTTCCCATCAGACTGATAAAAGCCAGAGCTAACTTCTCTTTGAGAGGCGGGTTTCTGAGAGCTCTTACGCAGCAGGGACGCAGAAAGTGATTTCAGGGTTGGTTAACTGCAACTGCTATATCTGCTTGTTTTAGAGTGGAGTTTCTATTTTTCTGTTTCATTCATATATTTTTACCAACCTTCCCTCGCCCCCTGCTGGCCGCTTTGGAGCCGTTGCTAAAACATGTGCAGGTTGGGGTGCAAGAGGGACAGTGTGTGCAGAGCTGTAGGTCATTTCTGAGACCCAAAGCAGCTTAACATTGTTCTTTACACTTAAAAAAACAACGGTAATGATGTCCGACGCTTTAAATGCATCCTAAATCTCCTGCTCAGTGTGTGTTCAAGTGTGTGACTCTGGGTGTGACACAAGTGGTCATTGTGCTACGCATTGACAATCTGATTGGATATCATAAAGTTCATCCAAAAGGAGAGAGAAAAGAAATCAGAGTGGTTTGAAATGATCAAGAAAGTTCAAATGAAAAAATAAAGCAAGTTATTTTGCATGACTGTTCATATCACGCATACACTGCTTAAAATTTCAGCACCCCCAACTTATAACACCTTCCCACGTCCCTGTTCTGCAGCGGACGTTTCGCAACTCACATCACAGCATCTGCTGCCCCAAAAGCTACCAGCAACCAAGTAAACAAATACTTTGCACTGATATGTACGACGACTAGTTGGCTACTTTTTTGGGTGTTTGGTCAACCATGACTATTCCTGCAACCCCCAGTCTCTGACCAGCTCCGAATGTGATTTAGTAATCGAATCATGGTGTGTTTGCAAGACACATCAGACCCTCTTCACACCTGAACTCACCGCTGGCCACTAATGATCAGATCACCCAGTATGTATGTTAACGCCAGGTGTGAGCGTCTCCTCAGAGGCACTTGTGAATGAAACAGGATTGTCACAGTTGGAAAACTGCCCCTTTTTACGAGGCTTTAGACTGTCAGGCTAACGGTGCAGAGTGTCATAACTCCTCATGTTTCTGTCTGAACTCTTCTGGCTCCGTCCTCCTCTCACAGTCACACACAGCACTATGGTCAGAAGGCTGAGGCACCAGCTCCATGTCAGGATGGACAGAAGGTTGTCCTATCTGCCGAGCTGCATACGTCTACAAAAAAAAAATGAAACAAGCAAACAACGTGGACTCCAATCATCAAGTCTCAGCTACGGCCAGTGATAACAAAAGCATGCTGTGATTTTATACAAACGAATCTACAAGAGTCATGGCTCCTTAAAACGAGTAGAGAAATTGTGTGGAAAGCACAGATTCTAAATATTCAATCCATACCACAGAGTTTGTACGAAGAAGAGGAGATGTTTTATTATGATTTAAATCTGATGAGGTCATAAATACTATTTTCACATTGTATACTGGGTAATTCAGAAAGATTAATCCAATTTCAAAGCACCATATTTTTACAACCACGAGGCGCCTAGGAACCAATCACAATCCAACTGAAAGAGGGAGTCATTGAGTTTCTGACTGTAAGTATGACAGTGAACCAAGAAAAAGGTCACCAGCATCATCAGATCTCACGCCGTGTGACTTTTGTTTGTGGGGTACATTAAGGATTCTGTTTATGTGCCACTCCCAACAACACTGGATGATCTCCGAAATCACACTGAAAGAGCCGTGAGTGCAGCAACACCCGACATGCTCAATCCAGTATGGGATGAATCTGACTATGGAGTTGATGTTGTTTAATGCTGGTAGTCACTGTAAACAAAATTAAAGAAAAAAGGAAAGCAAACCTGAAGCCCTTTTTGACTTAGAAGCTGTTAATTTTAAATTAAAAATGGATTAAGTCATCATTTGGAAGGTTTGTTGGGTCCCGCAAACTCAAATAACGATTGACAAACGGAAAATTCCAGTCATATATTGGCTTTTGCTTGTATGATGTGACAGGCTGGTACAAACTCTGAGCCTAAAATAAAAACTCTTTGCCAGCAAGATCATATTTGTTGGCGCTGGTTGTGGCTGCTAACTGAAAGTCAAAGGCATCTACGGTTTCTCTGTAGATTAGATGCGCTCGAGCTTTAATGTTCAGTTTTATTAGTAATAAACAGAGTTCTGTTGCCAGGCTTTGACTGCAATTTAAGATTACTGCACGAATCCCTACTGTACGTTCGGTGGACACTGTGTCCACTTACTGTCCACTCTATTAGACACTCCTACCTTGTCGGTCCACCTTGTAGATGTAAAGTCAGAGACGATAGCTCATCTGCTGCTGCACAGTTTGTGTCGGTCATCCTCTAGTCCTTCATCAGTGGTCACAGGACGCTGCCCACAGGACACTGTTGGCTGGATATTTTTGGTTCTCGGTCCAGCAGCGACACTGAGGTGTTTAAAAACTCCAGCAGCACTGCTGTGTCTGATCCACTCAGACCAGCACAACACACACTAACACACCACCACCACGTCAGTGCTGAGAATGATCCACCACCCAAATAGTACCTGCTCTGTGAGGGTCCATGGGGGTCCTGACCACTGAAGAACAGGGTAAAAGGGGGCTAACGAAGTATGCAGAGAAACAGATGGACTACAGTCTGTAACTGTAGAACTACAGAGTGAAACTATACGGTCAGTGGAGCTGATAAAGTGGACAATGAGTGTAGATATGAGGAAATGTGAATACAGTGATGCTGAATGTGGCTCAACCAATCATATTTCAGAATCAATTTAATTATCTATTGCCAAATAAATATGTGCAAATCTTATGTACAGTAAAATACCTCTAAACCTCTGAGAGGAGAGCGCTGATAGAATTTGAGGAACGGTTCCGTGTTCCTTACCTTTAGAACAGTGTAGTAGTAGCAGTAGAGTCGGTGCGGCTGGAGGACGTCCCTGGCCACTGCCTGTCCGGCTTTAGCTATAGCCTCCGCTTCAGCATCGTTCTCCTGAGGAGTGGAACAGAGCACCCATCTAAACTCACCAGCTCACCCACACTGCAGTGTCAGGCATCATTTCTTTTCTACTATTTTGCATCACCTTGGCTTAATTACATCATTAATACTGTCAGGTCCTACTGTCCTACTGTCGTATCCTTACAGTGTAAATATTTTGGATTTTATTTATTTATAATTCTTCATACTGTTAATTTTTGTGAAGGACAGAGTTTATATTTTTATCTTTTTTTTTCTTTTTTTTACTCTTAGTGCTATGTAGTAACAAGTAAAAAACTGTAATCTTGTTAAGTAATTCTCCTCGTTACTTCTTTTCTTGAGTGCCTTGCTGTCGCTTTGCTGCTGTATCACTGAGAATTTCCTCGTTGTGGGACTAATAAAGATCTTATCTTAGGTGAAGATTCTACCAGTCTCAAGAGTCCATTATAAGCTACGTGCACATTACAAGCCTCATTACTCAAATCTGATTTTTTACTTAAATCTGATCTCTCTGACACGATGGTTCACACTCGTTTAGGTAAGTGATTCAAATCTGTCATTAATGTGAACCTGAAATGACCCGCATGTGCACATCCTACTCAGTAACGTCACGTGAATGAATCACTCACTACAGAGCTCCAAACCGCCTCTGGAAGCAACATCAAAAGTAGAGCTGCATCAGGAGCTTCATGAAATGGGTTTCCATGGCTGAGCAGCTGAACACAAGCCTAAGATCACTATGCACAATGCCAAGTGTCGGCTGGAGGGGTGTAAAGCGCCGCCACTGGACTCTGGAGCAGTGGAAACATGTTCTCTGAGTGATGAATCATCTTCTCTATCTGTCGGTCTGATGATGAATCTGGGTTTGGTGGATGTCAGGAGAACATTACCAACGGAATGTACAGTACCAACAGTAGAGTTTGGTGGAGGAGGGATGATGGGCTGGGCTGTTTTTCAGGGTTTGGGCTCTCAGTTCCAGTGAAAGGTGATGTTAAAGCTACAGGTCACAGCAGGGCTTTTACATTTGGGGTAAAGGAGGAAAAAATGGATAAATCTGATGTTTTTGCTGAATTACCGCTTGAACCAATGCGAGCGCAGGACTCCTCACCTTGGCCCATTTGATTTTCTGAATGAGGTCAGACAGCGTCCTCTGCACAGGGACGTAATGTTGGCCCGGTCTCAGGTGAGTGTAGAAGTGTTCGTAGTACGGCGAGTCTTGCTTTAACACCAGGCTGTTACCGAGCATCAGGTACGGAAACCTGTAGGCAGCCACGGTACCGTCCACGTTCACCTGGTACTTATACTGCAGAGTGAAAGGAGAATGGAGTTATTCTTCTGTACACATGTTCAAAGAGTGATTCACAAGACCATATACAGTCATGTGTAAAAGTATGGGCACCCCTGGTCAAATTCCATGTGTTGTTGATTTTCTGAACATAAGTGAACACCTCCTCTACTGCAAGGGTGTCCAAAGTCCGGCCCCTGGACCAAATGTGGCCCGCAGACAGATTTTAATTGGGCTCCTTTTAAGAGTATGTTGCAATTTTTCATGTTACCTCAAGATGGCAGAATTACCATAAACTAACATCATGTTGCACTATGCTGTATTAACAAAGCTAAAGCGTAAGAGCCTTTTATCTCTGACTACACGTTTTGGCATTGTTCACACAGCAGGTAAAAGTGGCCCAAATCTGATTTTCTCACCAAATCCGATGTTTTTTGTTTGGCTGTTCACAATATCTTTTAAATGTGATCCGTACGCGACATCAGTCTGAACAGTCTGAGCCGCATACGCAAAAGAACAATGCTTCATGTGGCTGATCCAGAGGTAAACAATCATGACGGCCAGCAAACGCCAGTCGCTCCGGGAGGGTTGAGCTTCATCTTCACCAGCCATCATGAAGCTTCATTGACTGACAGCTGGGCTCATCACCCAGAATGTGTTTGAGCTGTAAAAAGGGCGCGGTCACTTCTTTGGTTCGTGTCCTCGGATTCTTTATACTAGTCTCCTGCGGCCGCGTTCGGCCGTTTCGTTCAAAATCTCTTCGAACACGGAGCGGTTGCTATGAGTCTCTTCTAATTTTTTGGTACAGAAACATCAGCCTAAATGTTTATGAGTCGAAATTATGATGAATGCGGAGCTGGAATGACGTAAAAGTCAATGAATGAATTTCGGATTTCAGTACCATTAGGGCTGGGCGTTAAAACGATAACGATAAGTATCGCGATATAACCTTTCCTCGATAGAGGGATACAACAAGTTCGATAAATGTTCGATATAATACACCATTCTCACACTTCCACGTTCAGCGAAAGCCTTGATGGCGTTTTCTACTGCAAGGAAAGCGACACTACTGTGCTGTCGCCAGGAGAGGGCGCACTTCCAAGTTTTTCTACATAATTAGAGAGGGGGGGGGGCCACGCGGAGTTACACATTCCCTGTTTGAGTGGAACGACTGACGATCTGTTCTCCTGTGACCGAGTGTGAGTGACGAGGTCAGTGGTGTAACTGTACTGACCTACAGTGAACTCACCTCTTTCCTAACATCCTAACAGCTTTAGCAGCGTTAAATCACAATCCTCACAGCTACAGCGCTGTTGCAGCGCTCGGACAGCCATATTTAAGTATGAGTGCATTCCCAAGCAACGAAAGTGAAAGAAAGAAGTGGGTTCATGCAGTTACGGCCCTGATGTAAACAAAAATAAAGTGAGGAAGCTGTGAGGCATTGGAGAGCGTGAGAGCGCTAGCTTTCCAGGCTAGCTGTTTTTAGCAGCTGGCTAACTTAAAGCAGCGCTTCATCACTGCACGACACAGTGAATTAATGATACTGTAGATCAAACAAGACACAAAAGCACCGCTTTCAGTTTAAACGTACCTAAAGGAGGACTCTGTTTGTCTGGTGTTGATATTTTGCGGTTCACCCCTTAAACTCCTACAATTGAATATCCAGTCGTCTAGCTGGTGTCTGAATACTGTGATGTCATGTGTAGCGGGGTAGCCGAGCGCTCGGCACCAGCTAAGAATAATCTGTTTTCTTTCTTAAATTATGACTATTACAAAACAGCCGTGCTTTTCCAGCTGGTAAAAACAGCTCAGCAGACACTTTCTCCCACTGTCTCATGACAGATTTGTGAAATGTTCCACTGTTTGGCGAGTGTTTGTTGTGTTCCGAACAGCAATTAACCACCCAGGAGCAAAAATCAGCCTTCAAACTTGAAAGAAATAATGATTTGACATTTATCGCGATACGTATCGATATCGAACAATATAAATTTTGTTTATCGTGATAACATTTTTGGCCATATCGCCCAGCTCTAAGTACCATATATGTAAGCGTCTCAAATAGGAATCGAAAATGTCAGATTCAGTGTGTTTATCTGTTCACACTGACACACAGACACACATCTGAGTCACATACGGAGAAAAAGATCAGATTTGAGCCACTTTTATCTGCTGTGTGAACAAAGCCTGAGTCATAACTACAGCCAGAGAGCACAAGGTTAACAATGAGAACAATTTTGGTGAGACGGAAATCAGTATATTTTTATTGAGAGCCACAGCGAATGCTTGTGCCTCACACGCTGTAATGAATTTACTACCAAAACACATGAAACAAACCGTGAGCGCTATTTCTATGTTTCACTTTAACCAACATGGATGTGCATGGGATGTAACTCCAATGGTGGCAGATTTAAAGGGGAATTCCACCGATTCTTCAAAAGTTCTGCATAATTCAGTGGTTGAGATGTAGACAAAGTCAGTGAGATTGGTTTGAGGTGAAATGATTCTTAAAACTTACCGACTCAGATGTCTTTACAGTGGTGGTGATACCAGGGGTCGCCATGCCAACAACGCAAATAGCCATTTTATTTACTATCCAGAACCACCAGTGAACCTACACGAGTCTTCTGAGTTTATATGGAATGTTGATGATGGAAAATAGTGGAAAATCTGAAATAATAAGTTTTCTTTGGGGACTATTTTGCCTCACAGCGCCCTGCATGTATCCCTCCACCATGAATGGAGTTTAAGTTCTCTAAACTATCATAAAACAGTGTCTCAGTCATCAGGCAGTGAATTCATAACCATTTCATGTAGGAACTTTCTGTGAGGGAGCTTTTAGAGGTGGACGTCTGGTTCCTATCACCACCACTGTGAACAATTCTGACTCGGTAAGTTTCTCTAGAACAGTGTTTCACACCAAACCACTCTGAATGATTGAATGAATGAAATCGAGTTTCCCTTTTAAATGAGTTTAAGGGCCATCGCCAAATTCTCAGAATGGATTACAGGCAACACGCTCAGTCTGATTTGGTTAAATGTTCTACACATTTTTCTCACTTTGAATACTTAATATTTTGAATCATTTATGAAAATATTATGGCAAAGGTTGACTGGCCCCCAAGTATTCTGAAATGATCCAGTCTGGCCCTCTTTAAAAAAGTATAGACACCCCTGCTCTACTGAGAACACACGTATTTGTGTGGAGGGATGGGGTACAAAACAAATTGTAGCCTGTGCAAAAGTTATGGCGCATTATATATTAGGGTCGTTCTACAGAAACGTCCACTGTTCTGTCTCTCCATAGGAGTCACTGGTGTTACTGATCCTCATTGGTGTTCCACATAATAAAGGAAGACCAGAGACATTTTAATGAACAATGCATTTTACAAAATAACTACTACAGAACATCAAACCACATGTTGTCAATCATGGAATATCCACTAAAATATGGAATTTAAGCCATTTGTATTCTATTTTTTCACAATTACCTCAGAATAAAGTCGGTCACACCAGTGACTTCAGCTAAAAGCTTCATATGAAATCATGAACTAATGAGAAAATCTCTGATAACTGAAAGACTCAGTGGACTCACCATGTGCTTTTCTTCATAGATCCTCAGAAAACAGGTAAAAGAAAGTCGAGTGATGTCATCAGTGTGACTTTTATTTCAAAATCAGAGATTTTTTGTTCTGCAGTAAAACCAGTGACACTTTCATTACACCACCACAGCTTTCATATATTTTATAATATGTATTTGTCATTTGTTTTCTTTATGCCATTTAAATCATATATTTCATAGTCATGTATAGATTATTGTAGTTAAAATTGCAGAAAAATGTGTTTTTTCTTCAAAATATGGCCTCAGCCTTCACACATGACTGTGGGGACGAGCTCTTCTGTGGTGATTGGAATTCTATATGATTGATTTAAAAAACAAAATTGCTAAATTCATGGCTGAAGAAGGTGTAATTGTTAAAATAACTTATTGCTTTATTTTAAAATATAAATAAATTGTAACACTAACATGTTTTTTTAAGTGTAATATATTTCTAAACACTAGGAACACAAAAATGGACGTTTCTGTAGAATGACCCATTAAGTTTTTTCCGAATATGTTGGAATTAGTGGGGGTTCTCTGTAGAGGATGAGTTAACTTCACTGCAATCACTGTAACTGCATGTAATCAGACCAGAGGTGCACAAACATTTGCATAGACCTGTATATATAAGTCATATAATGCTGTATTCTGTGTTGTACTGCCGTTTCATGCCCCCGTTTACCTTAAAGAAGTCGAAGAAGCCGACCAGAGGGGCTTTACCCAGATCCTTCTCCCTCTCCCGGAAAAAGAAGAAAGCAGTGATTCCAGCATCGAGCAGGTCCGGGTTCTTCTTGGACATGGAGACGAGGTTCAGACGCTCCTCACGGCTGTCTCTGCCGCGGAAAAACGCCCGGCCTGTTTTATTCACCCAGGCAGGACCTACAGGACACAGGAGGAAGAGAACAGCATGAAACACTTACTGCCAGATGCTGGTCTTCGGCAAATCCCCTCTGAAATTTACCCAAACAGAGGAGAGGCTCTTTCTGATGTTCTGCTTCTAAACTGTGGAGCTCGTTACTTTTCACTGGCAGGTGAGCTCAGTAAACAGTTTTAAAAACATCTGAACACACAGATTTATTCACACGATTTATTTTATTACGTTTTTATCTTGTGCTTTTCTTTAAACATATTATTTGACTGTAAAGCACTTTGAGCTGCTAAATGTAAGGAAAGTGCTCCACAAATAAGATCATTATTATTACTGTTATTATCATTACAATTATTGTTATTGAAGTTATTTTGAAGTTTAACGCAACTAGTTAGAACAATCCAAATGACAGACAACAGTACAGACAAAATTCAGGCTTCAGTGTGACTGCAACTGTTTTAGCTATGCTAATGTACTTCAGTTCATGTTTACATATAACAGTGAGTCAGAAACCACATAATCAAGACTAACAGAGATACTTTAAGTCTGTGGTGATTTATGTATGATGCTGCTTGATGATCATAATAATTAGGGATGCACTGATACCAATACTGGTATGGGGTTTCAGGCCGATTTACTCGGCCTCATAAAAATTCACAGATACCAGTGTTCCGATATCCGCTGTGACGTAAGCCAAATGCCTAACTATTGAACAAACTCAGTGAAGGAGGATCAGCTCACACAGAGAAGAGTTACTGACCCCATCACAGTCGGACACAGAGCCGTCGGTCACTTTAAACACTCCGCCTTGGCAGATTCTCACCAGGATACACATTGACTTTAGACTGTTTATAAACACACAATCACAACAGGCTCACTGAGCACCAACTGGACATTATATCTCTCTACTCATTACTATGCACTGCCACTTTGTTTATACATCTATACATACTGCATATTGCACTGACACTTATTTATACTCCCAGTCATATTACACAACTATTAACATGACATCATTTACAGTGTTTAGTCACTCGGTTCATGTACTGGACGTGACATGCACCACTGCATTGTTACCTGCATAATATTTGTGATTTTACTTATTTTTTTTACTGCACATTATATTTTAAGGTTGTTCTGGTATATTTTATTATAAATCTTTACTTCTTATATTTATGTATCTGTATAATGGCGTATTGCAATACTTTTGCTCTTTACTGCACTTTGTGCTGCTGTAATAGATGACTTCATCCATCCATCCATCCATCCATCCATCCATCCATCCCGCAGGAGACAAACGGAGACAGGTTGCTACCAAAGTCTGTATAGGCGATTTCACTCTGTTTTACTGAATAGAATAGTGAGGTATAAACACTAATACAGTGATTTTATTTTGTAAAATAGTCTGTAGCGAGACCGTAGTGTCCTACCGTGTATATTTCAGTGCACAGGGTGGTTTGCAGAGCTCAGTTTCTCAGTACTCGTATTATTCTGAATGAATCAGCTTTATTGATAACTGCGTTTCACGTAGCAGGTAAATCAGACGGAGCGTTTTCATACAGTGTGAATAAATAAATCATAACTTTGTTATGAAGGTCTATTCCAGGGGTCGCAACCTGAATGTTAAGAAGAGTCATTTTGTCCTTTCAACAAAAATCAAACCACCTTGGGAGCCTCAACATTTTATGTCCATTTTACCATCTTGGCTGTTTACCAATACGTCTCAGTGTGTGCTGATGTACTAGTATAGAATAAAACATATAAACGACAAACACAGACTCGCTTTGCTCTGCTTATAGCTTTAGCTCAGCTACAGCCGCCTTTCTCGCATCTCTAGCCGGAAACTTTTCCTCAAAAATGAAAGTTTCTTGTAAAATGTCTCTCAACGTTCGATTTTAACAAAGCTGAAGTCAGCTTCTCATGCACTTCTCAATTTTCCTGTTCCACCTTAAACGGCGCCCGAGGTGCCAGAATGTAACTGCTGCACCATTTAAGGTGGAACGGGAAAGTTCAAACAAGAAGCTCCGCCTTCACAACTTCACGTGTTTGACAGTTCTTGTTGCAAATTAAACGTATCAGGAAACCAGCTGGAGTGATTATAAACACAAATAAGTCTCTAAAATATCGATGTTTATCTTAAATCTTTCTCTTTGCCTTTTCATTATCTACTAGCTACTTGTTGATCTTCAGGGTTAAAGGGTGAATTAGCAGTTCTACATTAACTCCAGAGTTTAAGACCATTTATTGTTAAACTGTGTTGAACGATCAGCAGAGCTTTATTTTACGGAGGATTATTTTATTTTTACCTACAAATCTGATTCAGCTGTGGAGCCACAAGAGGGCAGTAAAAGAGCCACATGTTGCCAAACCCTGCCCTAATCAGGCATACGGTGAGAGTCACCAACCAACAAGATTTCTAAAATCACACAGTGTCTGTCTGGCTTAAGAGGACATTCAGCTACAGCTCAACCAGCCAATCAAAACCCTTCAACAAGGAATAAAACTAAAGAAGCTTCAGACACCAAACATGTCGTGGCTGATCAGTTTCATGTGGGGTAAGAGAGGTTAGGTTGGTTTTTCATCAAACTATTGCTTGTTAAAACAGACAGAAGGACAAACCAACCTGTGTTCCCCTGGACGGACAGAAGGTCATTTGTTACCCCTCTCATTGTCTCCAGGGTGGAGTGCGTGATGTCGTAGGTGGGCAGGATAATGTCCCGCGTCTCCGTGGAGCCACACCACGAGATGATGGGCACAGGTCCAGGTACAGCGTCCACTTTTCTCGTCTCCAAAGGCCAGTCACCAACATTGATGTAAAACTCAACGTCGGGCAGCTTTACCTTAAAATTAAGGAGCAGATGATGAAGCCAGACGAGAAACAGCCAACATAAACACAAACATCGCTTCATCACAATTTAAATCGTAATCATAATATTGGTCAGAAATTCACAATTAGTGATAGTGCCAAAATCGTTCAGCTGTAATCGTGATATATTTTTGGCCTTTCTGCCCACCCCTACAGTACTGCATTTAAAAGGCAGCTTTGAGACAAACAGGCCCAGTATAATTAAGACATATCGTCTTAGTGTAAACAATGCAGCTGCAACATGATTAAACACAGCCTGCCGACAGGAGCGGACACTCACTTTGCGGCTGAGCGACAGCAGCATTTCGTCGGAGAACATTTTGAAGTCCGTGTATCTGCCCAGGCAGCGCCGGTACACCTGGTTATTGATGACGGTGTAGTGAATCAGTCCACCTCTGCTGGAAAAGCGTTTAGGAACCTCCTCCAGGAGCCGGCGGAGATCTATAGAGGGAAACGAGCTGAAATCCTGCTGGATCTGCGGCTCCTCTGAAGGACATTTCATCACGCTCTGCCAGGCTGAGGCGTCCACTTTGGGGCAGTCACAGTACTCATGATATACTGGACCTGCAGGACGGAAGGGAAAACACAGAGAAAGTAATTTAGCCACAGCAAGTCGACATTCATTTCCAGTGCAGTTTACGGACAACAGACTTTTACGTGTTTAACAGAAGAATGACTGAGACACTGTTTTATGATAGTTTAAAGAACTTAAACTCCATTCATGGTGGAGGGATACATGCAGGGCGCTGTGAGGCAAAATAGTCCCAAAGAAAACTTATTATTTCAGATTTTCCACTATTTTCCATCATCAACATTCCATATAAACTCAGAAGACTCGTGTAGGTTCACTGGTGGTTCTGGACAGTAAATAAAATGGCTATATTTGTGTTGTAGTCATGGCGACCCCTGGTTCCTATCACCACCACTGTAAAGACATCTGAACCATTTCACACCAAACCACTCTGAATCTCTCTGATTACACCTCAAACACTGAGCTGTGCATAAAAGTAAGTGAAGTAAATTTCACGTCTGTCCCTTATTGTAGTTATAAAGCTCTGAAATCCACTGTACCTTTAAGAGTGTATGGAGACTCAGCCACTGGTTTGTCCTTATAAAGCACTTCCACCTTCAGCCCATGAACGGAGCTCCCGTACATCCGAAATCTGACCAGGAAGGATCCGTCCCCGCGGTCCAGCGGTGGTGGGACATGGATACGGACGTGCTCCTTCTGCGACAGCGAGGTTATTCTCACCCTGAACGAGTCTTTACCTGATAGTCAAAACCAATAAAGAGCAACCACATAAACCAACAACCGTTCCTCTTCAGGCTTTTTAAACGGACACAGCACAAATATTGTAGCTACACACTAAAGGTGGTTCTTCATGAGAATGGTGCTACTTAGAACCATGAGTTGTATATAGAACCATCTGCATGTTTAAGTGATGCTTTGCATGGTGAAACGGTTCTTCAGAATGTGCTGCATACGGTTCTATATAGCAACAAAAAGCGTTCTTCTATAGTGATAAGCTTGATATTGTAACAATAAAGAACATTGTTTGGTGCTATACAGAACAATTTTTAAAAGGTTCTATGTAGAACCATAGACAATACATCTTAAGTCCACCTGAAGAATCATTTCACCATGCGCAGAACCATTTAAGCATGAAATGGTTGTACATAGAGCCCACTGTTCTATAAAGAACCATTTGCACGCATAGTGAAATGGTTCTTCGGATTTATGGCGAATGTGTTATACATGGTTCTATATAGAACCTTTTCAAAAATGGTTCTATATTAAACTAAAAAGGGTTCTTCTACTGTTACAATGTCAAGCTGGTGACAATAACCTTCTTTGGTTCTATATAGAAATATACAGCACGTTCTCCATCAATCTGAATAACCATTAAGCATGAAATGGTGCTATGTAGAACTCACTGTTCAAAATAGCACTATTGTCTTTACTAAAGAACCCTCGAAGAACCATATTTTTTAACTGTGTATTGTATATACACTATTTGGCCAAAAGTTTGTGGACACCTGCTCGTCCAGAGTTTCTTTTGAAATGAACGTGTTCATAGTGAGTCTGTGCTGCAGTAACAGCCTCTACTCTTCTGAGAAGGCTTTATACTAGATGTTGAACATTTCTGTGAGGATTTGATTGAGCATTCGTGAGGTCAGGTACTGATGTTGGATGGTCAGTTCTGGGTCACTCCAACTCATCCCAAAGGTATTGGATGGAGCTCCATCACTCCAGAGAATGCAGTTCCACTGCTCCACAGCCCAATGCTGGGGGGATTTATACCCCTCTAGCCCACGCTTAGCACTGGGCATAGAGACTTTAGGCTCATATGCAGCTGCTCCAGAGCGTCCAGAGAGATTCTATTGGTCAGTGCTTTTCTATGGAGATTATACAATGTGTCTGTACCTTTGAACTCAACTGTGTCAGCAACGGTTACACCTTAATGCAGCTGAATCCACTAATAAGAAATGCTTTAGTGTTTACAAACTTTTGAACATATAGTGTACATGTATATTATTCCACCCACATTATATATATATATATATATATATATACACACACACACACACACACACACACACACACACACACACACACATATACTGGAGATCAAAATTAGAGAACAACACACAATTTCCTAAATGTCAAGGTCACTGTGTAGTCCTGTGTGAATTTGTCCTAACAGGAGTAAAAGAGCAGTATGCTAAGCTTATTTCATGAGTTGTATATATTCTAAAGCACAGTATAAAAAACTTAAATGAGACAACTGAAAAAGAACACTGATCAAATTTAGAGAACACTTTCAGATACCTGCAAGTTTTTGGTGTTAATCTGGCACCTGGTTCTTATTTCCTTAATTATCTGATAAACCCTATTTAAACTATTTAGCCTAACTTTCCAGTTTTCACTGACTTTGCAAGATGGTGAGCCGTTCCAAAGTGACTGAAACCCACCGGCAGCAGATTGTCCAGATGAAGGCCAAAGGGGTGACCCTATCAGCCATAGCAAGAGAAGTTGGTCCCTCTCTAAATTGTTCTCTAATTATATATACATATATATACATATATCATTAAGCCTTTTGAGCCATCAAAGAGCAACAATAATTGAGCAATAAAAAAAATCCTTTCATGTCATTTTTTTTGTCATTTTTAATTTTTTGAAATTATTTGATTTTCATGATGTCCAATACTATAGCTTTTATACCCCCCTACCCCCCCCCCAATATATATATATATATATATATATATATATATATATAAAATGTGTGCCTATACATACATATATACATACATATATATATATATATATATATATATATATATATATATATATATGTGTGTGTGTGTGTGTGTATGTATGTATATATTAAACAAATAATTCTTACCTAAAATCCCGAATTAAGTGTATAAGTGTGTCTGTATGGAATGAAAATCGGCTCTTCTTACCCGGAGAGGTGGAGATGACCTGTCCACTCTCACTGACCGCCTGGATGTAAAAATACCGAACAGGCAGCACTGACCGGGGCTCCAACCCTGGACCCCAAACCAAACAGTGTTCTGGACTAACATCATCTTTATGTGTCTGAAATGATCCAGATCTTACATTATTACAGAGGATTAAAGCGGTGAGCGCTACGAAACTCACAGCCATCGCCAAATTACCGGCACTTCGGTTACATTAACTCTAAATACGGCACGTTTAACGCCTTATCGTAGTTATAGAGCTCTTAAGTCACTTTTATAAAGGCCTTTAAATACACAAAGCCGTCTATAAACTCAATTTTGTTCCGTTTTTATAATGAATTAGTTTAAAGTTTACAGCCACCAATCCAAACTTTCAGCCGCTACGCGTGCGGAGAAAAAATAAGTCCGTCCGCTTCCCAGCACGAGATAAATGGTTCCGCCCCTGTATGAGCTGAACAAACCACATTAGATTTTAAATAATCAGAGATAAATATTTTCCTTACTGTACTTAAGTACTGTTCTTTACTTCACTGTTTCATTCACTAAATTCACTAAGTACATTTCTCAATACATAATACAACTCTCCATTTTCCACTCACTACATTTTAAAGGGAAATTCCACCAATCTTTTTCTAAATTTCTGCATAATTCAATCAATGTGCTACAGGCAGAGTGGTTTGGTGTGAAATGGAGAAAGTTAACAGCTCATATTTATTGGGAAAATTAAAAAAAAAATTGAATTGTTTTGCCTCACATCGCCCTGCTGCAAGTACCACTCCACCATAAATGGATTTTAAAAATATGTTTTAGGCCAAAACCTTCTCAAAACTACCATAATAGCTTTCTTTAAGGGAGCTTTTAGAGGTGGACGTCTGGTTCCTATCACCACCACTGTGAACAAATCAGACTCGGACTGTTAGATTCTCTAAAACAGAGCGTTTCACACCAAACTGCTCTTCTTAATCAATTAATTTTATAAAGATTAGTGGAATGTGTTGTTCTATGATCTATGTATTTTTGGTAGTTGTGAGGTGATCTTTCACATCAGACACCTTCCAGCAATTGATGATCCACAAATTCCAAACTTTAACAGAGGTGACAACAAGAACTGAAAGGCGATTCATTGTTGGATATGTTTATTTTTCACTTCAGTTTCAACTGTAATTGTACACCTGCATGCAAACACAGAAGGGGAGTAATAAACAGCAGCATAACAGTAAATTAGTTAGAGATGCAGCAGTATGAATATTAATTATAATAATCATCCAGTCAGTGTGATGGAAGGAACACTTGTATCACAGCCATCCACCGTACAGCCTTACTGCATTCTCATTAATGATCCTTTCTTGATTCTTAATTTAATCTTCAGTGCTTTTTTTCAGGACTTTTTACTTTTATACTTTATGTAAATTCAAGATTTTGTACTTTAACTTCAGTAAAAAAAATAAAACGTTGATAAAAGTATTATTTTAGATTCACTTTAGAGTCCACTTTAACTTGAGTTAGGTATTTGTGTACATTTCCCACCTCTGAGGATAATGAAGGGAAACATTACAGTTGTGTGCACAAGTCTGTGCCTGGTCAAATTACATGCATTTTGTTGATTTTCTACTTGACAATAAATCAACACGTCCTGCACAATTTAATACAAAATTACTGTTTATTTCCTGAATTTAACATTGGAAACATAATAAAACAAAAAATGGGGCCTGTGCAAAAGTTATGGCACATTTTATTGTTGTTCCAACACACTGAACAGTTTATATTCTGTTAATTCTATTATTTGATGTTCAGTGAACTCAAATGTTTAAGGCAACCAGGTTACTTACTTTTTAAGTCAAAATATTTATTGTTAAAACATTATTTTATTTACAGATTCCTACTAATGATTTAAAATCTGTGAAATTGCACAGGATGATCATAATAAACTATACATTTATCTAACAGTGATTATAAAAACAGTGATTTTAAACCATTTAAAACATTATCTTTAAACTCTTTCTCCTTCATCAGTGCCATCATGCTCTCGTTTCTATCTCGAGCCGCTCCAGTGTGAGTTGAGTCGTCGTGTCTCCACCACCCAGTCAGTGAACTCACTGACCAGGGCGTACACTCCGGGCTGTTTCGGCTGAGCGCAGCCCGATCCGAATGACGTCACACCCACCAGCACCCAGTGGCCCTCCTCTTCGCACATCAGCGGACCTCCAGAATCCCCCTGACAAAGTCAGACACTCTTACACTCATTCTGCACCAGCTGCTTTCTACAAAAGGCCTTTATTCTGCATTTCTGCTGTATTTTTTATGTTAAAACAGCGAGTAATTAATTTGACAGGACCATTTTCCAACCTCTCTTTATCCCTCAGACTTAAACAGGCAATTACTTTATTACTATGTCATTAAGACTGATATATGTATATAAGCTCTGTTCTGATTGGCTTCTCCCGTTCAGAGCAGCCAGTAACAGCACAATGTTTAATGTTTCCTATTCAATCCAATAAACACAGACTGTCTGCAGGAACAACACTCCACATCACTTCAGCAGGAATGGTGGGGCTAAACTGCTGTAGACTGAATGGGTGGAGCTAAACTGCTGTAGCTGAATGGGTGGAGCCAAACTGCTGTAGCTGAATGGGTGGAGCTAAACTGCTGTAGCTGAATGGGTTGATCAAATGTGTGAAATATGTTTTCATACACACCTGGCATGAGTCGACCCCTCCCTCAGCGTAACCTGCGCACACCATGCGTTGGTTGATAGTATACTGAGGCAGCCACTCCTGACACAGAGCGTTATCGATGAGGGGAACGACAGCCTCCTGCAGTACATTAGCTACTGAACCTGTATTGCACATCATACAGAGCATATATAGAGATTAATTCATACATCCTCACAGGGTCATTTATAAATATTTATACATATCGGTAAAACATATACTCAATACTTCTACTCACTGGTCACTTTATTAGAAACACCCACCTTGTGCTTCCACTAACTGGCCACTTTATCAGAAACACCTAAATTGTGCTTCCACTAACTGGTCACTTTATTAGAAACACCCACCTTGTTCTTCCACTCACTGGCCACTTTATTAGAAACACTCACCTTGTGCTTCCACTAACTGGCCACTTTATTAGAAACACCCACCATGTGCTTCCACTAACTGGCCACTTTATTCGAAACACCCACCATGTGCTTCCACTAACTGGCCACTTTATTAGAAACATTTATCTGTACCTGCTTTAGCTCGACCTGCTTTATAATTGTACACTGAACAGTAAGGTTTTGCTACAAGCAATGTGTTTCTGATAAAGTGGCCAGGAGTGTATATTGAATCATTATATGAGACTCACTGACCTCCTTCAGTTAGTGTGCCCCAGCCAGCGATCACACACTTCCTGCCAGGTTCAAATCGCTGCTCAGGGTGAGGCAGGCAGATCGGCTGGATGTAATCTGTAGGAATGAAATTCATCTCAGACTCAGACATTTGAAAAGACATCAGAAATCAGTTTATTAATCAAAAGATCCACTGACAGTATCACTCTTCAGTTCCTCACTGTCATAAATACAAAACATACAGATTCAAGCTAGATAGTAGATTAATCATCATTCACAGCGGATACTGAATAATTCATTGAAGATATTAAATAATTAATGGTAGTTAAAAAATAATTAATAGTAGATACTGAAAAATTCATAGTAGAAACTGAATAATCCATTCTAGATTCTGAATAATTAATAGTAGTTACTGAATAACTCATAGAAGATACTGGATAATTCATAGTAGACGCTGAATAATTCATAGAAGATACTGAATAATTCATAGAAGATACTGAATAATTCATAGTAGATACTGAATAATTCATAGTAGATACTAAATAATTCATAGTAGATACTGAATATATCATAGAAGATGCTGAATAATTCATAGTAGATACTGAATAATTCATAGAAGATGCTGAATAATTCATAGTAGATACTGAATAATTCATAGTAGATACTGAATAATTCATAGAAGATACTGGATAATTCATAGTAGATACTGAATAATTCATAGTAGTTACTGAATAATTCCTAGACGATACTGAAAAATTCATAGTAGATACTGAATAATTCATAGAGAAACTGAATAAATCATAGAAGATACTGAATAAATCATAGAAGATACTGAATAATTCATAGTAGTTACTGAATAACTCATAGAAGATACTGAATAATTCATAGAAGATACTGAATAAATCATAGAAGATACTGAATAATTCATAGAAGACATGAGACATGAAAACTTTATAGTTTGTAGTTGCTGAAAATGTACAGTAGTTGTAGATGACATACTGTTATCTATAAAAATGGAATAAGCCACATCACACACTGTAGCTAAAGACAGTAATAGCAGCCATCATCATTATAATTGTGATAAATATAATCAGCTAATCAGATGAGCTGACCTGTCACTGACCTGTGAAGTTGACTCTGGTCTGTAAGTGCATGAGAGCGATGTCGGAGTTTTTAGTCCGTCGGTTGTAGTGCGGGTTCATTATAACCTGGTCCACTTGACGCGTCTGTCTCTCTGAAGTGTCGGACTCGTACTGAGCATGAAGACCCAACATGACCACCCAGTTAGAGAGCTGGACGTTCTTCCTACAGGATGGACACGCCATGTCATACTGTTAATATATTGTGCCATTATCATCATTTTGGTGGATACAGTATTAGTGAAAAGTTTGGAAAGTCCTACACATAGAAGAGTTTACTTTATTTTTATTGTTATATTCTATATTTTAGGATAAGAATAAAGTGATCAAATCTATGAAATAACAAATACACCTTGAATGCTTATCAAACAGGACAGAAGAACACGTGTACGTTCAAGACCATGGCCAGATCTACCATCAGGGTTACTTGAGGTCGATTTGAACAGGACTACTAATACTGAGGGAGCTCTGAGTTCGGACAATTATAAACCCTGTTGGAGCTGGATTAGTTTAATCTGAGGAGGTGTTGTGATTTGAGTGATTACTAAAGAGATCCTTGATTTTAATCCAGTATGAATCTGCAGTGTCTGTAGTTTTTACAGTCTGTTAACTAATATTTCCAGAGTGAACTTCCTTCTATAATGGGCTAAACTCTACTACAATCGACAACACAATAATGTAACAACAAAACTGGCTAATAGAAAATGGAGGGGTTTATTTCCTCCTCACTCATAGATCTCTAAACTGATCTCTGACTCTGGCTTTGATATCAGACCACACGTTTTGTTTGCAGGGTAACGCTGCTTTCACTAAAGCAATAAAAATAACAACGATGACGAGTAGAGCGTGTACAGCTCACTCAAGTGTTCGAGCTTGAAGCAAAAACAGCCTCGTCTCAGTTTCAGTGGTTTGTCAGCTGACGATGAGCAGAGGAAAACGAGTTTGTGCAGTTAATAAAGGAATAAACTTGTACGGAGAAGAGGAACCTCTGTGTCTGCATTTTACCGCTGCTGACTGTGCAGTTTGTGCTGTAAAGTTGCTGCTTCAGCCACTTTCAGAGGAACAGTTTTCATTTTCTCCCTCTAAAGCTGTCAGTATCTGAGACAGCGAGAGCTCAGCGGGGAGCTGATGTTCGTTCACTGGAGCCGGTGTTTGTGGAAAATGTGGCTTTATGGGACCTGACGACCTGGCGCGCCCCCTGCTGGTGTGTGTGCGTGTTCTTTTTTGACAACTAGTTTATTGTTAGCGAGCTGTTTCAACATCTGTAATATGGCTAATCTGGTGTTTTGGTGATAGTTATTTACACCATCCAGCGATTTATCTCTCTGTAGACGTAGCTGATGTTACTCTGCTCTGATAGCTGTGAAGGATTTTTTGCATTAAGTATTTATATCCTTTATTTAGTCTGGTCTCCCACATTGTTGTGAGTTTGGTTCTCCAACAGTTCTAGACATGTCCTCCAATTTCAATCTTGGCAACTATGACAAAGACAAAGGGGCTCACCTTTCTGTGGTGGCAGAAGTGATACGAACACCTGTATTTCTGAGGTTAGTAACTGTCATAAGGCAACAGCATAACTTGTTTCACCCAGCGCTTACACACTTCGGTTTCTTGTGAAAAGGGCCTGTTATGGTGACAGGCAGCAATGTTTTGAAGGTGAGGACCCACAGATTTGCTGGCGTTTGCTAATTCAGTGATTATGTTGCCAATGGGACAATCGTAACTGCTGTGAATAATGGATCATAAAATGTTTTGAGGGAACTGAATCCTGAGATTTCAAGCTTTCTAATGGTGTACTGCATCACTGTATTGCTGGATGATTTAATGCATAAAAATGATGTATAAAAAACGGAAATGAAAGCTTCCACGGAAGTGTGCCGGCGCCGGTACAGTGGTCTAAAAATAGATAAATGTTTCATATGGAGGACAAAATGAAAAGAAAAGTGAAAAGGTGTAGCGTAAGTGTGTGAGCGTAAGTGTGTAAATCTGTTTTCCTCACCCGAAGACGCAGTGCGCAGCTGTGATCAGCCACTCTCTGTCGATTAACGCCCCTCCGCACACATGCCGGCCCGCCCACTTCAGAGACGCCATCCAGGGCCAGGCACCTTTCGGTGCATCCTCTCCTCCCACCACTCTGCCTGAAGAGCTCTCAGCCTCCTCTCCCTCCTTTTCCATACCCAGATCTCCTACTGCAGACCAGCTGAAGGCCGTTGTTATGTTAATCATCCGGGTTCCACACGCTGGAACACACAGAACAATTTAACTCTTTACCAGCAGCTGCATTATTCAGATAACTGTTATTATTCAGTAACATAAATGATAGAACGTGTATAAAGTTATAGACTAATATTAAATTATATAGTGTATCGGCATTGCCTGACGAAACCTTGCCCAAAAGGTAAAATAAAATTAAGCTGCCCTATGCATGATTTTTTTGTTGTTGTTGAAATTGAAAGAAAATTGGAAGAAATTGAAAAATGTATACAAAAAAACCCCTAAAATTTGGAGTTTTTTACACCATGTTGAACTTTACATATTAACTTCACATGCAGAGGCTCAAAAAGAAGGTCCAGCTAGATGTTTAGGTCTCAAATGATCTCAAAATCAACACCATACTGATGAAATACAACCGCTTTAACTTTTAACACAACTTCATGTAGTGAGATTTCCCCACAGGAGAGAAAAATCTAATAAAACAGCTCTTAAATATCTCTGTAGCTTCATTGAGACAACAATGCGATAAAGGAGACTCCACTCCTGCTGCTGAGACGTTTATCCTGAGAAACAGAGCTCAGTAATCTCACATTTCCTCTAATACGTTTTAGTAGGGACCTTATAAAGTCACACATTGTGCTCAGATTTGCAGACATAATAATGTTCATCTTTATCTGCAAATAATTTACTACTTTCCTTTTTGTCTCTTGGATCTAATCTCTCCTTTTTCGTCTCATGCTTGTGAGAAATTAGGAATTTTAAGAGGATCATCATTAAGCCTTCTGAGCCATCAAAGAGCAACAATAATTTAGCAATAAAAAAAAATCCTTTCATGTCATTTTTTTTGTCATTTTTAATTTTTTTTAAATTATTTGATTTTCATGATATCCAATACTATAGCTTTTATACTCCCCTACCCCCGCACACATTTTAATATATATATATATATATATATATATATATATATATATACATGTATAGTAAACAACATTCAATTACATAACTATCCAACTATAGAACTGCTATTGTTGCTGCCATATCAAATACTTATGGAGTTAACATTTTACCTGCAAGTAATTTATGTCATTTTTCATACTTACGTTGGTTGTCACAGTGCAGTGATACGACCTTTTCACCTGGACAATTTTCACTGAAAAAGGTAAACAAAAAAAAACAGTTTGTGAAAAGGTGATTAAACTGTGCAGATTTTATTCAGAAAAAGTGCAGCTCTGCATCCAGCAGTGCAGTAATGACCTGTACAGTGTCTTATATATACTCATTTATCTGACTGTTTGAGAAATTATTACATCTTTGAGTTCAGAAAGAGTGATTTTGAGCTACTTGTAGTAAACGTTCTTAAATGTCTGTTGTCAATATTTTTAGATCATAATATTCAGTGAACTAAGTAGCATCAGCTGCACAGTACTGGCGCTGGTCTCTAGAAGACCGTGAGATGTGTTCATGCTGATGGCCATGCCAGGAGGATCATGGGAGGCGCGCACCCTCCAGAAAAGTGATTTATGTTGTTTATGTTGCTGTTTGTCAGTTAAAGGTATGTAATATGTGTTTACTGTGTCATTCTGTGCTGGGATGTGGGTTCAGTTGTGTGGAGTTTGTGTTGGTCATCATCAGGGTGAAGTGTACGGCTAATGTTCTAGGTAATAACCAGGTAAGTGTGAGGTACAAACTCCAAAGTACTACATAATTATATGCGGTAATATGATGGTGAGTAACAGGGCAACTAAAATGCCTAATAGATTCTTTATTTTTAAGCTGATAAAAGACATAAAATCTCTCATAATCATCAGCAGTAATAAGGTGATAAATACAAACATACACTAGGTTTCACTGTAATGTCAGACGTTTAAGCTGGAAAGTAAGTCAGAAACTCCTCCGAGTAGAGGGTGAGTTACCTGAGCTTAAAAAGCTGATTCAAAAACACGTGATGTAAATCTGCACCTGTTTACTATCTAAAAACAAAACAGAATGTAAGCATTAAAGAAATAAAACCAGTGAAGTACCTGGGTTTTATATCCAGAGAACCATCTGCAGCCGAGCTGACAACAGCAAACAGAGCGTCCCCCTCCGACACGGGCAAAAACGAAGCACTTCCTGACCTGGATTTTACAATACATGCTGTTAATGAACCATTTCACAGCCTAAATCTGCCCCCCCCAACCCCCCGACACACACATGCTTATCATCTGCCATGGCATCCGAGAAAGTTTAATAAAAGCAGAAATTACTTAATTTTAATTATTTTTACATATTGAATTTCTCAATGTTTAGAGTTTTTAAACTAGCAGGCAAAGCCCATTAGGACCATTATGAAATGCAACAATATAAGAAAGAGGAACACCAGCTTCACAAAAGTGAAACTATGATAGACAGTAACATGTTCATTAATACAGAACAAACAGGCGAAGACTTCATCCCAGCACTGCACTGCAATACCAGTGCAATATTCAGGAAACAGACTGCTTTAGCTGAACTATAGATGATGATAAACAGTGTGTAGGGACGCATTGAAATTCCACTCACCATAAATTTTCACCCAAAATAGTCGAAAATGGCACATTTGGTTTTCCGAAAGAGAAAACAGGCCAAAAAAAGCAAAAGTTTAAATTGAATGAAGTATCAAAATCTAACATTTTACGTCTGATCTGACTGATAATGAAAATAAGAAATAGTGATTTAAAGCGCTGTTTGTTTTCTGCTCTCCTGCACCGACGAGTCCAAACAGGCTGATCAGGAGATCCACAGTGAAACAAAAACATGATCCTCGGATGTGTTCTATAAACACTTTAGCTTAAAAGCCTTTTAACACAAACTGATTAGATTACATTCTTTAGTGGAAATCGCATAAACAACATTAACTCAGTATCTTTTGGCAACGGTTTTACTTCTAGTTTTGAAAGTGGTTACTGTAAACACATGTGCCGGTTAGATCCTGCTGGTGTGGGTTCGTGACTGTTTCTTCTCCAAATGATGAAAACTAAAGCAACCTGTATGCTAATAGCGCCCCCCTGCTGCAGAAACTTCTGTTTTAGATGCCTTTGGGAAACCATGGAATATTATATTTTAATAATTTTACAACTTTTAATATTTAACATTATGTAATAAAAGCTATTTAAAACTGAATTAGTCCTCTATTTCTCTCATTTCCCTTTCTCAACACAGCATGAATAAAACAGCAGATTACACACAAAAAAAACTTTTCTTTTGGTTTTCAGTCTCAGAGTGTGCTGAATTTCAATTTCAGTTTCAATCAAGAATTTTAATTTTGATGTATCACACATGGTTGGCAAACTGACTTAATTTTAAAGCATATTTGAAAGTCTTTTAAAGAAATCACTGCTTGCTTCACTGTAAGAAAATGTTTTTGCTGTTTTACCTTTAGGTTAGTGACCCAGCTTCCTTAAAATGTTTAATTGTTTGAATTTAATTTGCATAAAATGTGAAATTCAATTAACTCAAAATTTTAAGGCAGCCTGAACACTAAATTTTAAAAATTAAAACTTTTTTTTTACAGTGTACTATGTATTTGGCCTGCAGTGTATGTATGATCATGTGTCCAGTCTGTTCTGGTCAGAGTGCTCACCTGTAGCCCAGGTATCGGCAGAAGAAGTCAGAGAAGTTCGGGCTCCAGTCGAGAGCGCAGGCCGAGTAGAGGCTGTTCTGAATCTGAAGACTCAGACGCTGAGGTCCAGTGAAATTTACTGACATCAAATGTACTGAAATACAGAGACAGATCAACAACACAGTGCAGATAAACATAAAACATCATTCTGAGGAAGGTGTGGAGAGGGTTGCCAGATTACTTCTACAGTTTCCAGCCAGAAAGTGTTCAGAAATGTGTTAAAAAGGGCCCAAAAAAGTTCACATCAAAGTCAATATTAAGTCATTTTAACTGCTATATAAAATAGTACAGTATTTAACCAACATAACATTAATAATAATTTTCTTACATTACATTATTTGCTGTGGTCTTGCCCTTGATTAGATGTCGGGAGAAGTTCAGCCTATTCAAATTTCAGCTGCATGCAGTTTATTAATTTTATATACTTACATATACTTTATATATATACCTACCAAAATAATAAACAAGCCCATATTTTGTCCACCACCAGAGCACCTTTGTCCCTGCCAAATCTAACCAAAATCAGCCCAATCTGGCAACACTGGGTGTGGACAATATGGCAATATATTAGTGTTATTTTTTAGACTTTAGAGCATAAACTTTCTTATATAAATGAATTCTGTCTATTGGAGGTATAATTTGCAGTCAAAAATACCAGTTCACAATGTGTTTTTTCTGCAAGTCTTCAAAAATTGCAGTATAATTGTATCAGGCCTCAAATTTCATAATAATATTGCATAATGTTTACTATTATTTTTCAGACAGAAAAGTTCCTCCACATCAAAGACCAGCAGCAAACAACTGCGTCCACTCACCACAATGAGCTTCATCAGAAGCATCGGAGCAGTTGACCACACCATCACACACACTGGAAGTGGACACACACTCTCCTGAACGGCACTGATACTGTCCACTCTGACACGGAACTGCAAGGAAATGATAAGAAATGAAAGATTTTCCATGATGATACTGAAATCTTTCTTTGCATAATTTTTTTATTAACCCATAATTATTCATTTCCATCCATTAAATTTACTATCACCAATCTGGCATCTGATTGGTCTAAAGTGATAAAACTTTCAACTTTCGAGATATCGACACCGCTCCAACTCTCGAATGTTAGGTCTGATCGGGAACTGTGTGCTTGTATGCAGCTTTTTGATCAGATGTTCAGTTTTCGTACATAATTTCATTAAAATAAAAAAATACTTTTATTTTTTCCCATTGGAATGAATGGGATGCCAAATTTGTATACCCGACTTCTGTCATTTTGTTACAAGTCCATTAGCAACATCCTAATATGTGGAGATTGGGATGTGGAGAACCATAGCAATTACCTAGCAGCACCTTAGCAGCCACCTAAAATACCAAAGTAACCATTTATCAATACCTGAGCAACTGCCTAGCAACACAATCAATCCTTTGATACTTCTACTTTTATTCACATTTAAATTTGAATTTTCTATTGTTTTGTTAAAATCAGGCTGGCACTCTTAAATCTTTGAGTGATGCCATGGAAGAACCACTTTTGGTTCCCTAAAGCAGTGGTTCCCAGCCCGATCCTCAGGGTCCCCAAGACTGTCCCCATTAGCCACTTTTCCGCTGCATGGTACCAGCTTGACTCGACTTTCCTCGCCTTTTTTGGTTTTCCATTAGGCAAATCTGGTACCTGGTACCTGATACTGGGTACTATTTTTGGTAACACCACCATCGATACCAAAAGGTGATGTAAAATGCTACAGACTACTGATTGGTCGGAGAGAATATGCTGAAGTTAGCTACCAGGTTTTCCACAAACTCTCCTGTTTTTTTTTCCTCTTTTGTCTCGCTGCCATCAGCCTCTTCACAGCAGTTTCATTTGGCATCACTATGACAACCAGCTACATTGAGGAGGCGCTGCAGTGGAAAACAAAGTAGCTGGTACCAAAGCGAGTCAAGTCGAGTCGAGTCGAGTTGACCATGTGGTGGGAAAGCGGCTATTTTTCCTGCTTCCCTTTTCCTGAACCACTTCCCTAAAGAACCAAAAGAGATCTGTGTGTATGAAGAACCTTCCTTGGCTCCCACTGTCACATTACCTGGTGGAGGTATTTTAAACCTTAAAAGGGTCTTTAAACTCTCATATCATTAAAAAATAGCTCTTTGAAGAACCATTCACTGAAAAGTTTAGCTCCACCCCTAATATCACACACATGATCCAGGTAATGAGGGTCTTCAGGAGCATCTGGAGATTAGAGGCAGGTGTGTTATATCTGAACTCTCCAAGGTAAGAGATCCCCGGAACCAGGACTGAGCACCACTGTTCTATGGCGTCGCACAAAGAACTGGTTATTTTAAACAGCGCATGTGAACAGAACAATGAATTTAATAAGATAAATAGTAAAAACTCACCTTTTATCCATATGATTTAATATGAAATAGAATCACAGGGATGGGCTTTAATGGATTAAGTATTTGTTTATGTGAAAATCAGCCCATTTTTTAGTCTCCTTACTGAAATGAATCCTTACTGAACCAAGTCAAGTCAACAGAAGTCAGAGTTTCTCCCACTGACCTGGCTGACCGAGGCTGAAACCTGTGCTGAAATTGGCGAGAAATCCTCGATCGTTTCCAGACGAGTCAGAGTAAAACCACACGCTCATCCGAGAGGACGTGGAGAACAGATCGGGAAAAACACGGTCCCCTGTCAGGACACCTTAAATGAAGGAATGAAAGAACGAAAGAATGAATGAATTAGTAGTGAATGTATTATATCAAGGGGTATTCCTTCTGAAAATACCAGCTGCACTTTACACTGTATGAAAATTTCACGATGAATGGACCAACAGAAACAATCAAAAATGATATAAAATAAAAGCCTGTTACATTAAACATACATTAAAGTTAACAATGCAAAAAGTGGCATCTTTTCAAGTGAAATGATCTTAAATGTAGTCTATATATCTAATATTTCCCATTTTGAGATGGTTGTGCCCTTATTATAAGATTATCTGCTTATTTCTAGACACTTTTCACTTGTTTTAAGTAATTTTGTTGAGTAAAATTATCTCACTGTACTGGTAGATAATTTTGCTGGTTTCAAGCTCATTTCTTACAACAAGCACAATGATCTGCCAACATAATGAGATAAATTTACTTAATAAAATGACTTAAAATAAGTAAGAAATGTCTAGAAATGAGGTAAATAATCTTAAATTAAGCTTACAACAACCTCAATAGGAGAAATATTAGATATATGAACAATATTTAAGATAATTTTACTTGACAAAACACCATTATTTTGCAGTGAAGGCTATTTTCTCTCTTCTTATGAAGTTACCAATGGAGGACATAAGGTTTTATTACATCAACAATATTTAGAAACTGACATATGAAAGTGAGTAAAGTCAAAAGGAAATTACGAGATTATAGATGTATAATAATATTTATAATCACTATTATCCACTAACTTACACAGTTTGAGGCTGTGAGTGTGTTTACACACCTGTTAATCTAACCTATAGGGTTCAAGGAGCTGATGGCAGTTCACCCTTTAAAAAGATGGTTCTTCAAGGGTTCTTTAATAGAGACAATGATTCTATATAGAACCATGAGCACTCAAAGAACCACTTGCATGCTGAAGTGGTTCTTTGCAGGGTGAAAAGGTTCTTCAGATGAATGGAAAATGTATTGTAGATGGTTCTGCATGGAGTCTTTTTAAAAAAAGGCTCCATTTAGCACCAAAAAGGGTTCTTCTAATGTAACAAGCTTGACATTGTAACAATAGCAGAACTCTATTTGGTGCTACATAGAAATGTTCCACAAACCCAATTCCAAAAAAGTTGGGACACTGTGAAAAATGTAAATAAATGTAAATAAAAACAGAATGTAATGATTTGCAAATCTCATAGAACCATATACAACACATTCTCCATCAAGCTGAAGAACGATTTCACCATGCAAAGAACCATTTAAGCATGCAAATGGTTCTCTGGGTGTTTGTGGTTCTGTTTAGCACCACTGGGCCTCATTCACCAACCATTTATTAGAAGAAATTTCTTCTTAAACCCACTTATGCAGTTTTACCAAAGACTCTGACTCACCAGTGTTCTCTTATGTGGGATTTGTTCTGAAGTAAGAACAGAATCTACACACTCAAGAGCACAAAGGTGAGAACAGTTCTGCGCTTTAAGAACACGTCATGAACCTGACATAGACTTTTTCTTAGAACCTTTATCATGAACACACTTAAGAGCAAACTTAGGAAGATACTGGAGAATGAGGCCCAGTGTCCATACTAAAGAACCCTTGAAGAACCATCTAGAACATTGTTAACTGAGTAATCTACAAGAAATTTTAGAAATGTAGAAATTGACAGGAGAATGTGAGTAAGGTTAAAAGGGAAATGACAATATTATTGATATATAATAATAAATATAATCACAATAATCAGGCAGCACAACAGTGAACAGTAAAACAACATCAACAGTAAAAATAAGTTAATCGATCCTTTACAGAACCTCTGAACGTGTTAATGCACAACTTCAGTTTATCTGTAAAAATTAACATACTGGACAAAAGTGTCATGTATGTAATGAATGTTGCATGTGCAAAACCTGCCATGCTTTAAATTTATATTTAATTTCTTTTTAAAATGTTAAATTCAGGTAATAGAAGTTGTGCACTACTATTAACAGAAGTGTGTATAAGCTCCCTGAATAGGATGTATGTAGGATCATTAATTTGCAATTAGAAAATTAACAAATTCTGTAATTTGACCAGGGGTGCTCCAACTTTTTTATAAGACTGTATAAGTTGTGTATTTAAACATATAATATGAAGTTAATATATATAATCTATAATAGTATCAATAAAGCACTGTAAAAGCTTTATAACCTTTATAATAAGCCTATAGCTGTAGGAACAAAAGCTCGTCTTAAAACCATCTTAAAACACTTTATTGTCATTCAAAACTCCCACCTAGTAATGTAGAATTCGGCTCTACTCCGTCTCGGACCTCCACCATGTCATACGAAGCCTCCAAAGCGAAATCCTGGAAATGCAGCTGAATATTTTTGCCATTTTCAGCATGAAGGGTCCACAAACCTGAACAGAAACAAATGACTCAAACCATAAAGACCATCAGGAAATATCTGAGTCACTTATGGATTATGAATGTAGTTTACACTGCTAGACGCAGTAAATGCTGATGTTTGAGCTTGATGTCTGGATGTTCTGTGTTCTCAGTACTTACAGGAGGCGCCGTGCCCGTAGCCGTTGGGATAGTTGGGTGAACTGAAGGTTGTGTTTGGTTCATACAGATCAAACGGACCCCCACAGTCGGCTGGAGGGGTTCAGAATAACAGCTGATCAGCAGCTCAATAAACCGATCATACAGTCCCAATAAAGACCCACCTGAGAGTTTGTTTTTAATGAGATCAAAGACATTTAATCTATCTATCTGTCTGTCTGTCTGTGTGTCTGTCTGTCTGTCTGTTTATCTATCTATCTATCTATCTATGCATCTGTCTGTCTGTCCATTTGTCTATCTATCTGTCCATCTGTCTGTCTGTCCATCTTTCTGTCCGTCTGTCTGTCTATCTATCTATCTGTCTGTCTGTCTGTCTGTCTGTCTGTGTGTCTTTCTTTCTGTCTGTCTACCTGTCTTTCTGTCTGTATGTCTGTCTGTCTGTCTGTCTGTGTGTCTTTCTTTCTGTCTGTCTATCTGTCTTTCTGTCTGTCTGTCTGTCTGTCTGTCTGTCTGGTGTTTGTGGTAGTCGTACATGGTATGGGTGGGGGGGTGGTGGTCAGAGGAACTGGAGTTGGATCTGGATGTGGACTTTCTCCACACGGTCCAGAGGTCATGCTGATGTCATCCAGCGCGATATCGTTCAGCAGTCCTCCGTTCTTCCGCGCTTCAAAGACGATCTGAAAGACAGAAGTCCTGCTGTCTCACTGTCCTCTGTCCTCAGTGCGTATGTAGGTAAACAGTGACGTTCAGAGACGCAGGTCTCTCAGTGTTACTGACCGTTTGGTCTGCTGTGTCCTTTATGGTTATCTGGCCGAAGTTCCAGGCGTCTCCGTAGTTTCCCTCTTTCTGGAAGAGGACGGTGCTGACTGACCCTCGCTCGCTCATCACCACCAGGCGGAACACGTCCGCTCCATACATGTGATACCTCAAAACACACACACACACACACACACACACACACACACACACACACACACACATTTACACACATTTTGATGGTTCTTTAAGGGTACTTTGACCAAAAAAATGGTTCTCTATAGAACCACGAACACTCAAAGAGCCCTTTGCATGATTAAAAGATCCTTTGTACAGTGAAATGTTTACTCAGATAGATGGAGAATGTGCTGTAGATGATCCTGTATAGAATCTTTTTGAAAAGGGTTCTATATCGCACCAATAAGGGTTCTTCTGTTGTTACAGGTTGACATCGTAACAGTAGAAGAACCCTGTTTAATGCAATATAGAACCATAGACAGCACATATGAAGACGCACTTAACAATGCAAAGAACCATTTAATCAGGCAAAGGGTTCTTTAAATGTTCATGGTTCTGTATACATTCACGTGTGGATACTATCTGCTCCCGGCGCCGCGCGTGGGGCTCTGTGATTGGTCCTTTTCAAGTTCTGTGACGGGGGAGAGGACTGTTGTAGACAGAAAGCGCTGTTCGTCACTGCTTAAGTGTTTATAGCAAAGAAAAATAATTAAAAACAGCAAACGGACCATCCTGCAAACCTGCTCGCAGAAAGGTGATGTATGGAATTGCGTAATTGTTCCATGATTTGGATTAAATTCTTGTATGTGAAAACAAACCAGTGATAATGAGCCTCTCCCCAAAACGAGCCCAGAATCAGTGTGAAAACACCCTTAATGTAACATAAAACTGTACAAAATATATATATGTTAATGTAACTTACAAACTTTTTAGCAGAAAAAAATTATTTAATGTAAATTAAAAACGTCACAGAAAAACACAAACAAAAACTAATACCTGTGAAAGTTTTTTTTGAAGAAGAAGAAGAAGGAGAAAAATTCTGTATATATAATTTAAAAAACTGTAGGGTAATGAAAAAAGACTTTATGAAACTCAAAGAGAAAAGAGGGATGTAATTTCAGTTAATGTAAGTCAAAAACTTTGTAGCAGAAGGAAAAACTTGTTCATGTAACTTAAAAAATTTATATTCAAAAGAATCATCTGTCAATATAACTAAAAAACATATTAGAAGAAATTTTAAGAAAGGCAAACATTAGTTAATGTTACATAAAAACTTATAAGAGAAAAATGAAATACATGTTTATGTAACTTGAAAGGCTCACATTTTAAAAATTCTATGAATTTATTTATCATGAAATCTTCATGTAATGTAAAGGAAAAAATAACTATAAGGCTGTTATGACAGGATCAATACGAAAACAGTACTATTCTTTATTCTGATACGCTGCAGACAGATTTCTATCAAAAGTAATGTTTGTTTTTTGATTGGAATTGGAAATTTTGCAAGTATGTTTTGTTTATCACGGCTGTCAACACTGATCTTCATGTTCATCGAAGTGACTTTCTGAATAATTTAAATTCCATACTTGTTTTAAGGTCTCATTTTGAAGCTCTGGTCTAAATGTGGTTTAAACACCTGAAAGGTCTGAATGCTGACATTATAACAGGGGGAGAAAGTGGGCGTGGCCTTCAGCTTTATTCTCCAAAGGAGGGTTTTTAACAGGTGTTCATTCAGCTTTTTATTTATTGTTAAGTTTTTGCAAATCCTGACAGGCTTGTTTGTGTTGAAACATCTTAAAAAGCTCAAATGTATAACAGCAGCTAAACATTCTAAGAGACTGGAATAAAAGAGAAAACTGCACTAACCAGAACTGCAGACACGCTTCTTGACTGTCCGAAGCGAGAGGAAGACTGTAGATCCGGAAAACTTTCTCCCAGGTCCCCGGACTGTTGGGCGTTACGAGGTAGTATCCTGCAGGATTAGTGTGTGTTTATGTAAGAACACTCTATAAACACAAACACTGTAAACACTATAAACAATAACTGCTAATATTTTACGCTTAATGCAGACGCTAAATAAACTCTCACTACAGCACTGCACTTTATATATGCATATTCTACATACATGTTATATATCTATATACACTAATCAGGCGTAACATCATGACCACCTCCTTGTTTCTACGCTCATTGTCCATTTTATCAGCTCCACTTACTATATAGGTGCACTTTGTAGTTCTACAGTTACAGACTGTAGTCCATCTGTTTCTCTGATACTTTGTTAGCCCCCTTTTACCCTGTTCTTCAGTGGTCAGGACCCCCATGGACCCTCACAGAGCAGGTACTATTTGGGTGGTGGATCATTCTCAGCACTGCAGTAACACTGATGTGGTGGTGGTGTGTTAGCGTGTGTTGTGCTGGTCTGAGTGGATCAGACACAGCAGTGCTGCTGGAGTTTTAAACACTGTGTCCACTCACTGTCCACTCTGTTAGACACTCCTACCTTGTCGGTCCACCTTGTAGATGTAAAGTCAGAGACGATAGCTCATCTGCTGCTGCACAGTTTGTGTTGGTCATCCTCTAGTCCTTCATCAGTGGTCACAGGACGCTGCCCACAGGACGCTGTTGGCTGGATATTTTTGGTTGGTGGACTATTCTCAGTCCAGCAGTGACACTGAAGTGTTTAAAAACTCCAGCAGTACTGCTGTGTCTGATCCACTCGTACCAGCACAACACACACTAACACACCACCACCACGTCAGTGTTACTGCAGTGCTGAGAATGATCCACAAGGAGGTGTTATGCCTGATTTGTGTATGTGTATATATATATATATATATATATATATATATACACACACACACACACACATATATATATATATATATATATATATATATATATATATACACATACATCAATCAGTTGCAAGCTAAAGGTATTTTTAATAATAAACGTATATGTCTATTTATATTAAATGTATATATTTCAGAATAGGCTGTTTAACATCATTCATGTTCTGAATTCATTGTTCTTGCTGTAATATTAGTCAGACAGTTTCTTCTCAGATGTTCAGTGACTCACCAGACTGGTTTCCCAGCGTGTGGTCAAAGCTCGGTCCAGTGAGGGGAGGGAAAGTGGAGCCTGCCGTTCTGATCCAGTCTCCATCATCTTCAGGCTCCTGCCTCCAGAAACAGAAACCCTCTTCAAACGAGCAAGTTATCTTCTCCTCATCTGGAAACACAGAGTCAGTCAGTGACCAGGCATCAGACCTGAGATCAGACCTAACCAGAAGATTTCAGGACTCTCGATCCATACACTCATACTTTAAAACGTCTACAGGAATTAACATGACTGAATTTTTAAAATACTTCATTAGTAGCCAGAACTGGTCTTTACAAAATTAAACTTAGAGTAAATGAACAACAAACAAAGTCAAGCCTATAATTTTCAGCTACGAAATTCTGGAGATCTAGTTTTCAAAATGTAGTTTGAGTGGAATATCTTACAGTTAAGCCAATCAAAGCAAAGCAATCAATAATTAATAATTAGGAGGATTTATATGACTCTATTAAAGAACTCTAGCTTCCAATGGGATTATGCAATGTCTACTGTCTGGTTGTTTGTTTTGTATTCTCTTTGTCTTGTTGTGAACTCCAATAAAAGGTTTATCACAAACAAAACAAACAAAATAAATAAATATGCTGTTACAAGCTTCAAATGTCCACATTTAGGCTAGACCTGGTGTAACTGGTGTTAAACTGGGGATAATTTAAGTGTAACTGGTGATAAATCAAGACACAGCAGCATTAACTTTGTGCTAACATAACATTGAGATCCTCATTAAAGTGCTAATGTGAGCAATAGTGTACCAGCGTGTACAGAGTGTAGACCAAAATTTTTTTGAGAAATGCAGGGAAAAAATCATAATGTTGGCTGTAGAAATCAAAAATTGAGAATCATATTAGAATCACATCCTGGCACTCAATTAAAATCCCCTCTATTAGCTCTCGGTGTTAAATTTATGATTAAGATATTTGATAAAATACCACCAGTAGTGTTCAAATGAGTTGTAATTAGAGTTATGAAACTGCATTAAAGTTTAAAAAGTGTAGAAAATTTTAATAAAGTATATTTTAAAATTGAGAGACTGATGATATTGATGTGGTATAAGCACAGTTTCTCAGAACCAGTTAAAGTCTGACCGTTACAAATCATGATATCATGTAACTACATGATGAATTATACTGTTCTGAGTTTTACAAGTATAAGTGTTTATATGTTTCGATTAACAAGAAAACACTGATTAATTGACAGAAGAAGCTCGGGGTTCATCTGCTCATCTGTAAATGAGTGAATATTGACTGGTTTGAAAGGGAGTCGTACTGGTAAGCTGGCTGAGGTTCTCCGCCCAGTAAGAGGCGTTGAAGCCTTGCTCGTTCACGATGAAGTCGGAGGAGAATTCAACAGTGGCTTCACTGGACAAGAGCCAGACGGTTCCAGGAGAAGAACCGGACAGTGCATCTGAGGAAAATAAAAGCAGTTTCATAATAGAGACGGTATCTTAAAGGGGAACGCCACCAATTTTTCTACATTTCTGCATAATTCAGTGTTTGAGGTGTAAACAGAGATTCAGAGTGGTTTGGTGTGAAATGGTTCAGATGTCTTTACAGTGGTGGTGATAGGAACCAGGGGTCGCCATGACTACAACACAGATATAGACATTTTATTTACTATCCAGAACCACCAGTGAACCTACACGAGTCTTCTGAGTTTATATAGAATGTTGATGATGGAAAATAGTGGAACATCTGAAATAATACGTTTTCTTTGGGGACTATTTTGCCTCACAGCGCCCTGCATGTATCCCTCCACCATGAATGGAGTTTAAGTTCTCTAAACTATCATAAAACAGTGTCTCAGTCATCAGGCAGTGAATTCATAACCATTTCATGTAGGAACTTTCTGTGAGGGAGCTTTTAGAGGTGGACGTCTGGTTCCTATCACAACCACTGTGAACAGTTCTGACTCGGTCAGTTTCTCTAGAACAGAGCGTTTCACACCAAACCACTCTGAATGTTTACATCTTAACCATCTAAATATGCAGGAATTTTGAACATTCATTGGAATTCCCTTACCAGGCAATCAACACCACATGTTTGATAAACTTATAAAGGTTTAGAGAAATTGTTTCTAAGAAGAGCTATGATTTGTGCTCATAGAATAATAAACATAATAAGAGATAAGATACAAATATAAATAAGACTAAATGCTGGTTGACTCACATGCCAGCTTCTTTTCAGCTCCGATTCCCTCATAAAGATACAAAACATCGATTTCCTCCTCTGTTTGGAAAACATCGAAGATGATCTTAATGGCCAGACCTTCATTAACACTGTAGGGAAAATGAAGAGGAAAAAAGAGGAGCAGATATTATTAATAACAGAGTATAAACAGCTGCAGGAGCAGAGCTGGAGCTTCTATCACAGAAAAATCAGATTTATATAATGTGAAGAAATTTCTGAAGTGTATTCAGTTCAGTTTTCCAGGTGGTTGCTACTGTTTCTGACACTGCATGAACACACTGTTATCTACAAACATGGATTAAAGCACATTAGAATTGCTGAAAACAGTAGCAACCACCTGGAAGACTGAGGTTCTTTCTTTGGTTTTGGGCTGTGAGGCTAATAGACTAAATAGACAAATGCACAAAGAAAAGTCTTCCAGGTGGCTGCAAGTGTTTTTACTGTTGATGCACTTTAGTCCATGTTTATATATCAGTGTGTCATACAGTGTCAGAAACCCAGGGTTATTATAGTTTTACATTTTCAGTAATTTCTAGTTTTATTGAGTTTTCATTTTGGTATTTGACTTCAGTTCAGTTTCTATGATGGCATTTTAGGGCCACTGTTAATAAAAATAAAAGTAGTGGACTTCGAGAAAAAAGTCGTAATATTTGGAGGATAAAGTCGTAATATTTTGAGGATAAAGTGGGCTGCTGTCCTGTAGGGGGGGCTTGGGGTCTCAGTTGCTGTACTGTAGGGGGGCTGCCATAACGCGTTGGGGTCTCGGTTGCTGTACTGTAGGGGGGGCTGCCATAACGCGTTGGGGTCTCGGTTGCTGTACTGTAGGGGGGCTGCCATAACGCGTTGGGGTCTCGGTTGCTGTACTGTAGGGGGGGCTGCCATAACGCGTTGGGGTCTCGGTTGCTGTACTGTAGGGGGGCTGCCATAACGCGTTGGGGTCTTGGTTGCTGTACTGTAGGGGGGCTGCCATAACGCGTCGGGGTCTCGGTTGCTGTACTGTAGGGGGGCTGCCATAATGCGTTGGGGTCTTGGTTGCTGTCCTGTAGGGGGGCTGCCATAACGCGTCGGGGTCTCGGTTGCTGTACTGTAGGGGGGCTGCCATAATGCGTTGGGGTCTCGGTTGCTGTACTGTAGGGGGGCTGCCATAACGCGTTGGGGTCTCGGTTGCTGTACTGTAGGGGGGCTGCCATAACGCGTTGGGGTCTTGGTTGCTGTACTGTAGGGGGGGCTGCCATAATGCGTCGGGGTCTCGGTTGCTGTACTGTAGGGGGGGCTGCCATAATGCGTCGGGGTCTCGGTTGCTGTACTGTAGGGGGGCTGTCATAACGCGTCGGGGTCTTGGTTGCTGTACTGTAGGGGGGCTGCCATAATGCGTCGGGGTCTCGGTTGCTGTACTGTAGGGGGCGCTGCCATAATGCGTCGGGGTCTCGGTTGCTGTACTGTAGGGGGGCTGCCATAACGCGTCGGGGTCTCGATTGCTTTACTGTAGGGGGCTGCCATAGCGCGTCGGGGTCTCGATTGCTTTACTGTAGGGGGCTGCCATAGCGCGTTGGGGTCTCGGTTGCTGTGCTGTAGGGGGCTGCCATAACGTGTTGGGGTCTTGGTTGCTGTACTGTAGGGGGGCTGCCATAACGCATTGGGGTCTCGGTTGCTGTCCTGTAGGGGGCTGCCATAACGCGTTGGGGTCTCGGTTGCTGTACTGTAGGGGGGCTGCCATAACGCGTTGGGGTCTCGGTTGCTTTACTGTAGGGGGGCTGCCATAGCGCGTTGGGGTCTCGGTTGCTGTACTGGCGCCGGAGCTCCACTCACTCCTGTCTCTCTGTGGATCATATTGATCATCATTCTCACTGTCTGTGAAACTTCATGCCCTCTTTGAATGGGGGGAGATGTAGCCCCCGATAGCTGTGTAGACGACCCTGCCTGAGATTCTCCTTCAACAACACAGACAGACAGTTTCCTCCGAGTCCGTCTGGCTCTTTATTCTAGATAAACACAGTTCCCTGCTCAGCCGTTTCAGCCGGTTCTTATACTAATAACAGGCTGGTGCTGATGAGCAGGAGAGACAGGGAGACTGAGTGTTTCTTTATGGGTGAATCGATATGAACGTAGAACTCCACCAACTCACCGCCCCTCATTTAACACGAGGAGGTGCTGCTTCCCTTCGCAAAGCTTTTGGCCACAATATTGCAACCTTTCCTGGTATTAATGCCACTTTAATGTCGTAATTCTATGACTTTTTTCTCAAAATATTATGACTTTTTTTTCAAAATATTACGACTTTATCCTCAAAGTCTACTATTTTAATTTTTATTATCAGTGGCCCTAAAATGCTGTCGTAAGTTTCAAAGTTTTAGTTTAATTTTTATTTTCTGAAAAGTAGCAGTTTTACATTAGTTTTTATTTAGATTCAGACGCTGTGATAGCAGGTATTTGATAAGTGTTGAATAAAATGAACTCAGCTCGACTCCAGCTTTACTTAAAACACACAAACACACGTCTAAACTCTCATTCACACTGAAAAACAAACTGAAACTAGAGGTTTATTCTCTTTCATTTTATTTCATTTTAGTTAGTTCTGCAGTGGAAATTATAGGTCAGATTTTTTGTGTTCTTAAAAACTGTCGTTTTTATTTTTATTACCATTAATGAGCAAATTTTCTCAATGCTACACTGTTAAAAAATGGTTCTTCGAGGGTTCTTTCATAGGAAAAAAGGTTCTATAAATAACCATGAACACTCAAAGAACCCTTTGCATGATTAAAGGGTTCTTTGCATCATAGATAGATAGGCAGATCGAACTCTATACTCAATGCTCATAAAAGGGTTCTTATGAATGTGCTGTGTAAGAACCTTTTTGGGTGATATTTTGGGTGATTTTTTTTCTAAAAATGCTCTATATAGAATCATCTACTACACGTTCTCCATCAAACAAGAATCCTTCAATCATGCAAAGTGTTCTTTGAGTGTTCATGGTTCTTCATAGAACCATTTTCTTCACTAAAAACCCTTGAAAAACCATCTTTTTGTGTGTGCAGAAACCAGTCGTGGGCTGGAGGTTAGGGAACCAGCCCTGTGACTGGAAGGTCGCTGGTTTGATCCCCTGAGCTGACAGTACGTGACTGAAGTGCCCTCGAGCAAGACACCTAACCCCCAACTGCTCCCCGGGCGCTGTGGATAGGGCTGCCCCCTAGTGTGTGTGTTCACTAGTGTGTATGTGGTGTTTCACTGCACAGACGGGTTAAATTACCCCTTGTGGGACTAATAAGGGTCATGTAATCAATTCTATTAGAGACTGAAAACTCCAGACGCTTTGAAGTGAGGAAGTGATGATCAGGTGAACTGCATAAGGCATGCAGATATGCTAATTGGTGGGGTATTAGCTTCCATTACTTGTTAGCTACATTAGCCTCGTAGCACCAGAAGGAGAGTTAGAAGGACGAACTCCCTGAGAAGTTGTGAAAACCGGCGGAGAGACGTACCGGATGATCCAGCGGCAGCTCGTTTGACTGTCGTAAACCAGGGGGAAGTTCTTAGAGTGGAAATAGCCATTCGGACCCAGCAGGAGGAACTGTCCATCACACACCGTCGCTATGGAGACACAAACCTCAGTAACTTACAGCATAGAGAGGGTCATCAATATCCATCCATAAGACACTCTGACATTTATGACAGTCTGAGTTATGACAGTGTATCATCAGTACCGCAGATCCTCTCAGACTCATCTGAGCCATCGGGGCAGTTCAGCTTTCCATCACAGAACTCTGACACAGAAACG